CTGCATGGTCTCCCGTTTTGTTACGACCTTGAGCCAGTCGTAACAGTCCACTTCAGTGGTCTGTGTGGATTTATAACATAAAAAAACCACAAGAAGCACAAGAAAATGGCTTTTAGACAGCTGCCCACTGTAGTGACCGACATGCAGGTTAAAGAAACTTTCATATCCACAAATAGTTACAAATGGTTTTTTTTGTTTTGCTTTTGCAACACAGTTGGGTTTTAAAATGTTGGCTTTTCCCTAAGTTGACTGTCAGAGCTCAGTATTTGTTTGTCATTTGGAGTGACTAATTCTCTCAGTGTTGAGCTGTCGCCCCCCCCTTCCTCCAGAAGAGCCCAATCATAATTAACCAAGGCAGTGTCTAATTAGAAGCTGAATAAATCCACACAGGAAAGACTGATTGGTTCATTTTCTTCAACCATCTACCACCTGTTTTGCTCGATCCATTACCCAATTTGTTAATTTTATCTCCCCGTTCTCAAGGTTTAATTAAAGACTGAAGGGGCCAGAGATGACATTTCAAATCTTCTTCCAGTCCCGCCCTGCGCCGACCACGGCTAACCCGAAGCATCACTCATGGACCTGGGTGTGCGTCAGATCAAAGCGACATCACACACACCTTCTGCCAGGATAAAACAAACATTCATCACTCCACAGATGGGAGCATTGTTACGTGACGGTCCGGGATATCGCGCCAGTCATGCTGTAACAGCCTAAAAGCAGAAAAGGTTTGATTGACCAACATCATAATCAAAGTTGTAGCAATTCATTTTATGTGTTTGAAAGTCCTGCTGCAAGCAAATTACAACCTAGAGTCATGATTGGCAGTATTTCTCTACCAGGCAGATTAAAGTGCTGCAATTAATGTGAAATTATGCAGACCAAAGAATATTTTTATGTTTTAATTGCTCTTTTCTCTAGAATGAGGCGTAGCCATTTCTTTCTAAACATACAGCTCTGGAAAAAATTAAGAGACCACTTAAAATGATCAGTTTCTCTCATTTTACTCTTTATACGTAAATGTTTGAGTAAAATGAACTACTGACAACATGTCTCTGAAACGCCAAGCAAAAATGTTCTATTTATTTGCAGAAAATGAGAAATGGTCAATGCCATTTCTCAATGCAAAGAAATCAAGTTAATATTCGTTTAGAAACAACAATACTGATGTTTTCACTCAGGAAGAGTTCAGAAATCAAGATTTGGTGGAAAAACCAGGAGGTTTCCAATGGTTTCTTAATTTTTCCCAGAGCTGTAGAGTTATTACCGCCATGGTAAAGATGTATAAAAAAACCTTCATTTAAATGAATTACTGCTGAGACTCACTCCCACACACTAAAAAAATGTAAACAGATCTAATCTTTAATTAAACACATCTATTTAGGAATAAACTCTTACATAAATAAATTATAGTAGAGTCTACACGGGTTCTAAGGATTCAGAACTAGATCACCTTGTTCTTGTTCAACAGAGTCCATGTCTTCTGCACACAGTCAAACTGGTTTCCAGTGCAGTTTGGACTCCACCAGTCTGACTTTTTCAGACAGAATATGATCTAAATATATCAACAAAATCTGTTCTGCTGATATATTTAGAACAGTGGTCCAAAGTTGGTCTTTGAGTGCTGCTGTCTTGCATGTTGTGATCTTTCTCTTGTTTATCACAATGGAAAGATCAGAACCGTCGTTCATTGCAAGGCTTCAGTAAAACCCGATGACATGCGGAGAAGGTAATTAGGCTGTCTGAATCAGGTGTGTTAGAGCAGGGACACATTTAAAACATGCCGTGACCTTCAGCATGCACAGACGCACTTTGCAGTCGAGTGTTGAGAGTACAACCCAAAAAGGTTAAGTGCTTTCTTTAAAATTAAGAAATGCTGGTGTCTTGTTCATGAGAGAAGGATGGATGCAGCATTAGAGACGAGAAGGCAGGCTTGGGAATCTGGCAGTGTCAAGCCTGCTGTAGTTTGTTGCAGCAAAGACGGAGCTAGACGAAGAGAAAAGGCCTTTTAATTTACCATGTTAAGACTCTACTTGTGGTTATGTGATATGGATCCTTTCTGAAAGAATCGCCAATGAAAGCGCCTGATATGAGTTTGCTGTGTTGAGCAGCTGCACCCGGGTTTTAGGATGTGGTGAGGCGCTAACGCATCCATGAGGAACTAAGGATGCGTTCACACCTGCCCTCTTTAGTCTACTTTAATCAAACTCTGGTTTACTTGCCTAGAAAGTCCAGTTCATTAGGGGAAATGTGAATGTGCAATTAAAACCGAGGACTCTGTTCGCTTGACATGAACTCTGGTGTGGTTTGAATGCACATGTGAACACCAAGTGAACTGGAGACCGCTCCAAAAGCAGGAAGTGGACTGTAGAGCAGGGCATTCTGGGTAAATAAAACCTAAACAAACGCTAGAGCTAGACAAAGTGTCTAGCAGGAGAAACGGATCAAGGCCTTTTACCAAAAACAAAAATCTTACAATTGCTAAAATTTGATGCCACTCCATTTTTCAAAGAAGGAAGTTGAGCTCATGTCTTCTCCAGAGCTTTTTGAGTCGTTTCCTTCAGTAGTTTGTGATACAGCGCCACCACAGGCGAGGAGGTGAACAGGTTTTCCAAAGAGCTCAGATCGCTTCAGACAGTGCAGATTGAAATTTAACCACATGAAAATGTGACAAATGTTGACATTTTGATCCCTAAATGAACAGAGTCTCCTGGACGGTCAGGTGTGAGAAAATCCTGAGTATTTCTGCTGCTCATCATCACAGGAAGGAGTCAGATGTGGTTCCAGCAACTCTGTGGAGGTTTTTTTAAGAGCATCGCACTAAAAGAGAGGAGCCGTCTGTCCATTCTGGACTGGGTTGTTCGATAAGGGATGTCTGGGTGTTTCTCCTTGACCCCCTTCCCTGATGAGCCAATCCACAGCAAATACATATAAGGATGGACAGATTTATTGTAAGACTTTATGCACAACTTCACCAGGATCACCAATAATTGTGGATTGTACTGTTTATTTTATTCAATACCCAAATAGGCTTCTTTGTCTGGTTTACAGCAAGTTTAAAAAAAAAGTTAAGAAAACCTGAAAGTGTCAATAAAAAATTCTTTACCATAAAAATGAATATCGGACATGCTCGGGTACATTACACTTCACTTTTGTAATAAGGATGAAGCGACAGGGGGAGAAATTAACGAGGTGCGGTGCACAGGAGGGGAAAAGAGCCTGACAATGACTTACCTTTTGCTTGAAACCAATTTCATGTGACATCCTCTTTATAGTTCAGGATTATATTCAAGCATCAGAGCTTAACCGCAGAGATTCACTAAGTGAGACCGACTGGGAGGGTTGCTGGTGGGGACTCGGAGAGGAACGACCTCTGCCTGACTCCCGCCATCGGTTCCGGGAGGTCGTAAAGTTGTAGACGAGCGGGTCAGAGGTGCGTCACAGACTCGGCCTCAGTGTGCCATGTTAATGATGACCGATGTTCTCCAATTAGATGTGCTGACAGGCCCTAAAGCGCTGTGTCATTAATCACGACACTGTCGTGCACAAAGAGAAAATCACACCGTGATTTATTGCTCCTCAGCTTCTCTTTCCTCACTCTCTGCTCCATCTCCTCCCTGCTCTGGTGATCTAAAGGGGATTCTTCCCCGCCTCCTTGAAACTTAATCAATCAGTCGGTGTGATTTCAAAACGTACTCTGTGCAGGAATTCCAGGAAAAATCTATTTGTTTAGCCTCTGAAACTTTCCTTTGACTGACATAAATAAGAGACGTCCAACGGCAGCAGTTCAGGTTGACCGCCAACAACAGGCTCATCCATCGGACAAAAGGACGGGTCTGGGGGAGGACACCAGGATTCACAGACTCATGCATGTCGACCTGGCCGTGCTCACCAGACAGCAGTGCCAACTCACTAATGCACACAGACAGCGCAGGATCCTGCGACCCGAGAAGGAAGGGCATCAACACCGAGAAGGCCAGGGGAAGGGGCGGGAAGGGCTTGCAGGAAGGGGTGAAAGGGAACAGGAAGTGGATTGAGTGGGATTTTGTGCGTCTGGAGGGGTCAAGGCAGGCAGACGGTGCGAGGAAACGGGGGGAGGGGTTAGGGAGAAGTCCATACTGTACTCACATAGTCTGAATCCGCTTTCGAATCGTAGTATGAAATGGCATTCTCCTGTGCAGAAAAGAAAAGTAAGAAGAAAAGATGGTGAGAGAAGATATAGCTGTGCCTATATCAGTCCCGACCTGTGGCGGTGAGCAGGAGAGAGAGAAAGTCATGGTTATATTCAATCACACCGTTCAGCATGAGAATATAATCAGCATCACAGAACACAGGAGGGGTAGTGTGATGTAAAATGATAGTCATGACGAGGCAAGATGGACAAAACTTGCGTTCAGCACAAGTTTGAATCTCATAGTGTGAAGTCGGATGGTCTGAGATGAAGCCAGAAAATCGACCCAGCAGCACAGTATTGCATTTTTCTCCATCCAGATTTTGGAAACCAGAAGGTGGTATAACATAAAAACCAATCACATAGACACAGAAATACAGGGGAAGAACGTTCTAAACATGGAACATTTTAGTCAAAAGATAAATTAACGAATATTTATATCAACGCGGAACCAAAACATGAAGAGTCTCGCATACAGTGGACCCCCGTGAATAATGTTCACGGATTCACCTATTTGCAGATTTTTCTCCAAATTATTTCTAGATTTTTTTTAGAGCAGATCTAAAAAATGTTAAAGATTATGCAGCTCAGGGAGCTGAAATGCTCAGGCACAAAGCTAGTTAACAAACCTATTGGCTAAGCAGCCAATCCAGGAGCGCTATATATTTCCCTTGGCTCTGATTGGCTGTATTCACAAAGGAAGATGCATTAACTAGTTTCTGTTATGGTACTAAGACATTTTTCGATACAAATATTAATGTTTGTTAAGGTGAATTTGGTGTCTGAACTACTAAAAATGGTTTTAGAGAGGGTTTCAAGAACTTCAGCGATTTGCAGGTGGATACAGTCTGCAAAGTGGGGTTAGAGGTCGCAGTGAATACAAAATATTCACTGTCACATTAAACGATGACCTACAGTTTTTTGAGTGTTTGGATAAAGTGCGTTTCTATTTTTTGTCTAGATTTTAAGTCTGGATGAAGTCCCCTGGATGAAGCCCCCCTTATTGAAAATGGTCGAATTAAAAGATTTTCATTTTTCAGAAAATATCAGCCTATAATGGGCAAAATCTGCTCCAATCTTGAACTGCAGTCAGCAACCCCACAAAATCACTCAAGGGCAACAAACGACCTTGGAAAGAGTTTCAAACACATTTAAATTAGCCACATATTTTAAACCAAGTCAAATGTTACACAAAAGCACGTTTGAAACAAATAAACATTATTTTTTAGAATCTTTTAGTAAAATTTTTCTCTAAGTAGCCTCAAGGGGGTCGTTTCTGTTGTGGGTGTGGAGAAAAAAGTCAGCTGTGATTTTATGCTTTCAAGCTCTCTTTTCCATTTATATAACATTATAAAAAAAAAAAGCTTTGTAAAATCTTCATTTGGAAAATTAGTTTTTCTCACCTACAAATGAGTTTGCATGTAAATGAAAGAATCAAACAGAAAAAAGACTTCTTTGAAAAGCATCAGTGTTGGTGTGGACAGGGCCTTTTCCTCTACTTTCTGTTCTCTGTGGGAGTTTTATCACCCTCTGCTGTTAGTGTGGCGTTGAGGTAAACAGCTCCCAAGCAGAGAGCAGAAATGCGCGTACCAAAAGTTAAGAAGAGTGAAAATGTATCCCACTGTTTAGCTGTTCTGTTCCACTTAACCACTTGAGTTTTTAGCTACCAGGTTCTGATTTTTACACCAAAGCTTTCAGACTTCATCCACCCTCGTTCTCAGCAGGTCGGCTACCCAGTCGTCCCCGTTTCCCTCTCAGCTGGAGCTCTCATCCAGGTGGGCGTGAGGGTTTGGCGAGCAGCAGCCACCTTGAGGTCGGCCTCATTATGATGAGCAGAGACCGGCTGAGGACGCGATCTCAAGGGCAGCGCAGTGACTGACGCGCCTGCACCGGCAGAGCTGCGGTCGCAGTCTGGTGAGGGAGGCCGGCTGACAGAGAACTGTGGTTTAAGGTTTTACACGGTTTCTAATTATTTCTATCTGAGCATTAGAGCGAAGTAAGGGGTGATAACTTTTTGCTTTTCACACAGGCATTCTCTTCATTTTAGGTTGAAATTAATTTCTCTATATTTCTTGGCACTTAACTCAAAATTTCACACTGTAAAAAGAGACACTTATTGGAAAGACTGATAGATTATCATAATTAGTAAAAAATGTTTGGTTTAATACGCTGTAGGAGTCAAGTAATCGAGTCCAGATCAGGTGCTGCATTTTGTTTATTATGGAGGAGAAAAACATGTCAGCAAGTGCTACCTATTAAGAAAATAACATCTGCTTTGATTTATTTAAGAATGATTTAATTTGATATTGTATCGCAAAATATTCTAACTAAATAAGTAAATGTGCCTTGAAAAACTATCAATACCCGTTTTCACATTTTGTCACAAAAGTTCAATCTGCAGAATAAAGCTCTGGAAAAAATTAAGAGACCTGCAAAATGATCAGTTCTCAGATTTTACTTTTTATAGGTCTATGTTTGAGTAGAATGAACATTGCTCTTTCATTCTATGAACTACTGACAACATGTCTCCGAAATTACAAGCAAAAGCAGAAAATGAGAAATGATCAAAATAACAAAAAGATGCAGAGCTTTCAGACCTCAAACAATGCAAAGAAAACAAGTTAATGTTCATTTAGAAACAACAATACTGATGTTTTAATTCAGGAAGAGTTCAGAAATCAACAAGACCAGGAGGTTCAGTGCAGTGGGCACTTAAGTTTTTCCAGAGCTGTAAATTACTGGGAGTTTTCATCACAGTAGTAGTGCAAACATGTAGAGTAAGAGGGAAATGATACATGGTTTGACACAAATAAAAATATGAAAAGTGCAGAATGCATATTAATTTGAGCCCTTTTACTCTTTTACCCCTGGATAAATTCAGTATAAGTTGATGGGAGAGAGGTCCAGGAAAAGATCTCTGAACATACAAAGAAACACTTTAGCTCAGATCATATCCATGTGAATGACCTTCACCCAATCTAGACGCCTGAACTGAGACCAGACTGAGAAACGAGTTTTCACAGATATCCGCTTTGACGGGTACAATTACTTGAAAGGGAGAATGAGAAAACATTTTGGTCTGCAGGATGAGTTACTGATGACAACAACATTTTCAAATTACTTGCAAAATAAGTTAAAACTCATGTATCATTTTCCTCCCACTTCATAGTAATGCTTTACTTTATGCTGATTAAACACGTGAAATCCCATATAAACAAACCGCAATTTGTGGATGTAATCTGAGAAAATGTGAAAAACTTTGAGTCATTAATACTTTTCCAACACGCTGCACTATAGGGTATAAACTTGTTCCAAAATAACAGACTTGAATTGTACTGATAATTAATCAGACTGCAACCATAACTCAGTGCAGAAAAATTTAATACACGTCCTGCAATAATTTTCCTCTTGGATAATTAATCAAAATACTTTATCCTTAATTTAGATTGTTGAAATGAACAATATACTGGTGGGTATGAGGGTAAAAATATTTTAAATTGAACATTTCTGCTATTTTTTGTGGTAATTTGTTGGTAATCACCAACAGTTAAATAGGATTTGAAGACTTAAAACGAAACATCACTGCTGTTCCTGTCCATGAAAATATGTTTATGTTCAATTTCCTTCTTTTATCTCCTGCTAATCTTTTTTATTAAGTGTTTATTTTAAGAGTCCTTCCCCATTTTTTCTAGTTAAAGACCCTAGCACTTTAAAACGTAGCACTTCAATTTAAGAGCAAGGGATAAAATAGGATTCAGACACACCCTAACAATTACAGACATCATATTCAAAGAACAACTATTTCACTTTTCTAAACTTCTCTGGGTTACTCTCAGGATACGCCGCCTGAAGACGTCACTGCTAAGGTCTAGCACAGGTCAGCCAAGAAAGTACAGTCCCAAAAGAGTTGGAAAAAGGTGTGATCAAACTGAAACTGACGCCAACACAGCGTACCGATTGTGTTCAAGTAGGAACAAGAAGAGAAAGAACGGATTCTGCCTCCCTGACACACATCCTCAACTTACCAGCAGCTCCTTCCTCCCTCCAGCTCTGAAACGGATCAGGAGTGAAGATGGAAGGAAATGGGAAGAGCGGAGGGATCGGAGCGGATCAGTCAGGGAGCAAACTGGCTGAGTTGGAGGTTAGGTTTAGGTCGGGCTGATATGAGGGGATGGACGGAGAGAAGGGAGATGTATGGTGGTCGAGTGCGTAGAATGAAACAAAGAAAAAGACTGCCAGGGCTAAAAATAGCCGATGCTTTTGCAGAAAGAGTAGAGGAGAAAAACAGTGAAAGAGGGAGGGGAGACGGGGTGTTGTGTCTGCCAGCAGGACGGATCCGAAGCCCAGTCCTGCTCAGACTGGTTTGTCATTTCTAAGGAGTTTATTCTTACAGCTGCAGCGATAAAAGTCCTAATTCAGGACGACTTCCTGTCGAGAAACGCCTGGTTCTCCATATCCAGAGCCCAACACGAACAAACACCAGACAGCGGCTGTGTCTCCATGACAAACGTGGACAAATCTTCGTTTATATTCTGCTGATTCCGAAAAAAATATAAGTTTGCAATAAGTAGTTCTCATGTGACATCACACGTCCATGAACAGCCATCTTGGCAGGCGGTTGCTATGACAACAATGAACAAGCCACAAGCTTAGAACGAACTGTTGCCTTGTTCCTAACTTATAAACAATACAATAAGTACATTATAAGTATCACTCAGTCACAGATATTTATACTAAGATAAATATCAGCAATGTTAATGTAGTTATTGCTGCCAAACTAGCAAAATTACCTTAGCTAATGTAGCTTTTATCTACAAGCAAAGACAAATATGTAGCCTACATGTATGTTACTACATGTTCGTGCTTTGCGAGTCACCAGAACCTTTCTCTAGCACATTGGTCAAGAGTGTCTACATATTCTCCTTTTGTTGGTCTTGAATCCATGGGTCCGCTATGCTTTGCACAAGTGTTTGCCTACTGATCTGGTGCAGATCAGACTTGT